GGGAGAGAAAGAGGAGGACCCGCTGAGGGGAGGGGGCCGAGGGAGAAAGGCAGCCAGGGGAGGGGGGGGGAGAGGGGGAGGGGAGAGAGGGACGGAGCCCTGAATGGAGTCCTGACCCGGGCGAGGGTAGGGAACAAACGCACAGGAGACCCTGGGTAGGAGGCGAGGAGGAAAGGCTTTGGGGGTGCCCCTTCCTTTCGTTCTAGGGGCCCCAGGGCACTGGTTAAACCAGGGCGGGAGGTAGTAAACACCAATGGGAGAAGGGCTACGTTCAGGGGCTTGTGGTGAAGACGGGAAACAATGGTGAGGGGGCCGAGGTGGGAGGATAGCTCACTCACACTCACGCTGTGGGAAGGGGCGAGCGCGCGAGGACACTCGTTAGCCCGCGAGGAGGGGGCGGGGCCCCTCTAGCGTTGGGGGAGGGTTGAAGTCACCGCGGGCTGGCGGGGAGGGGCGGGGCCGCCGAGCGGGGGTCGCTAAGTCTAGCTCCCTGCCGGGGCCCCACGGGAGAGCGGCGGGAGGACCCCTTATTTGCCTGCGGAGGCCGGGGTCGCGGGCACTGCCGCCCTTAGGTCTGGTTCCTGGGTTGTGGACTTCCCCGCGGAGGCCCCCAAGCGTGAAGAGGGCCCGAAAGCCAACCCCCAGGGGTCGGAAACCCCGGCCTTGGACGTGCACCTCCGGCCTGTGTACTGACCTGGCCCGGCCCGGGCCTCCGCGGACCCTTGGCGGTTAGCCCGGGCTTGTGACCACCAGCGAGTAGGCAGACAGAGGAATCGAGTCCTCTGGGTCTCCCCCACCATTCCCCGTCTGTTCACCTTTGCCACCAACCCACCAAAGCTGAAATCCTTTTCTTTTAAAATGCAGCCAATTTTTGGAGTTAGGAGCGCAAGAGAAATGTTAAGAGTATCCCCCCGGATCCGCGCGCCGCCCGGAAAAAGATTTTAGAAATCACTTATTTAGTTTTACGTGGGTTTGGCGTCAACTACCATCCATGAGCCTCCTCCCCCTTTTGCTTTTAATATAGGCTCCTCCATGTAGTTATTTAAAGTCCCGATAGGGAAGATTTATGGTTTGGTTAATTTTTTTAGTCGTGTCCGACTCTTTGCAACACTTTGGACTGTAACCCACTAGGCTCCTCTGTCCATGGGATTTTTCAGGCAAGAATCCTGGAATGGGTTGCCATATCCTCCTCCAGAGGATCTTCCCCACTGAGGGATTGAACCCGTGTCTCCTGTGTCTCCTGCATGGCAGGTGGATTCTTTACCCGCTGAACCATCTGGGAAGCCCAGGTCCTAATTTTTTTAAGGTCCCAGCCTTGGAGATTATTCAGCCAACCTCTAACCTCAAAGCTGGACAAATCACACAACTATAGTCCTTGCAGGTGACACATGCTAAGGCAGGAAAAGAATATGATAGGGTGGACGTGAGGGAAGATGCAAAATCTTAAGTCTTTACAAGATGTCATTTATTTGCTAAGTCGTGTCGGACTATCTTGTGACCCTGTGAACAGTAGCCCACCAGGCTCTGTCCATGAGATTTCCCAGGCAAGAATACTGGAGTGGGTGGTTATTTCCTTCTCCAGGGGATCTCCTCCCACCCAGAGATGGACTGGCATCTCCTGCATTGACAGGCACATTCTTTACCCCTGAGCCACCTGGGATACTGCCTGATAAAATTTCTCATGATGTGACTCAGAGGCTGGAACCTATAAAAGTTTACAGACAGGGCCTTCCTCTCTGTAGGATCCATCTTCTTTGCACTCCAAAACTGGTTTCTTCTTATTTATCTTTTTATATGTATATGAATCTGAAGTTTGATGAGAAGGGACCACTAAGTGCTAGTCATTGAGCTAGAGATTTCATATGTTTTTCCATTTAATTCTCATAACAGAGAATTCTCTCTGCTGATGAATGGTTAGAACTATGAGCTTCCAATGCAGGGGATTAAGGTGTGATCCCTGGTCAGGGAACTAGGATCCCACAAGTGGCACAGCACCCCACCCCACCCCCGAAAAAAAATTAGAACAATCCCATGAGGTCTGTGCTATTACTCCCATTTATAAATGAGAAAACTAGAGCTCTGAGAATTAAGTATTAATACACTTTACCCTCCCACCCCCCCCCCCCATTTCATGCCAGGGTGCACAGGTGTAGTGCACAGAGTAAGTGTGTTACTTGCTCAGTCCTACTCCGCAATCTCATGGACTGCAACCTGCCAGGCTCTTCTGAAAATGAAAGTCTCCAAGCAAGACTACTGGAGTGGGTTGCCATTTCAAGTTAAAAGAGCCCTACCCAGCTTCAACACTTACCAGTTGTTTGATTTTAGCCAAATACATTCTGAGTTTCTTTATATGTAAGTTTTCAACAACAAAATAACTACTTCACAGAGATGTAAGGAAAATAGCAGATCCCAAATTTAAGATAGTAAGATGATACTGACATGTCCTTCTCGTTGGTGAGTGATATCAAGGTCCCTGGAGCAAGTTCAATGGAATAAAATTTCCCGATTACTTAATAAGAGCAAAACACAGAGTTACAAAGCCAAGCCAGATTCCTGTCTCCAAAAAAGTTCACCATTGAGCAAGGAAGTTTACTATTGAACTACAAAAAAGGCAACAGGTCTTATCAAGAGCTGGACTAATACAGAGGAGTGCATGATAAATCCCACTTGGGTGAAGTTTTAATGGAAAAGGTAGAAGCTGAACCCTGAAAGTTTGCTTATTATGTGCTGGACACATGTCTGTGATCCTGAGAACATTGTTTTGTCTGGAGTGGGCAGAAAATAATGATTCTGAAAACAAAGGTGGGGGCCAGACTGAGAATCCCAGTGCCTCTCTGCTCTTATCCCTTCCAGATAACTCTCTTCTACCACTTTTCCTATTACTCAAAATCCAGTTTAACTCCTACCTCCTTTATTAAATCATCTTCATCACCACCACCCCCATAGGCCACTGAATGAGATTCCTCCATTCTCTGAATCCCTACACATTACTTTTATGAGTCTGACTCCAGTAAGTTATAAACTTGAGTGCAAATACTTAACATTTGTATGACTCCAGTAAGTTATAAACTTGAGTGCAAATACTTAACATTTGTATTCCTTATAATGCCTACATGCTTGTTGAAGGAAAACTCTGGCAACTATACTATTTGTCATCACAATAAAACACATATAACACAGGTATTTCTATGTGAAAAATGAGGGAAGTTAAGGTATAAGAGACTTCATTAGTGGCCAGGGTCACATAGGAAGTCACAGGCAGTTCTAGAATATCAGTTCTGTGTTCTTTCCTTTGAATCACCCATTTAATGAGAAGTTAAATGATAAATATCTGACTGTTCTGTATAAATAGTCTAAGGACTTACATCTGATACTTGCAAGAAAGACTTCATGCTTGTGGTTAAGTCTCCAGTTCGGAAGTTCTGAGAGTTCAGTTTCACCCAAACTCAGATGAAAATTACTTACAGTAAAAGTCATATTTCATCATAAGTAATTAGAAATATAATTGCCCAGTGGATCAATATTCATACTCTATTATCTTCCTAGGTGATCAGTTCAGTTCAATTCAGTCGCTCAATCATGTCCAACTCTTCATGACTCCATGGACTGCAGCATGCTAGGCTTCCCTGTGTATTACCAACTCCTGGAGCTTACTCAGACTCATGTCCATTGAGTTGGTGATGCTGTCCAAACATCTCATCCTCTGTTGTCACCTTCTCCTGCCTTCAATCTTTCCCAGCATTGGGATCTTTTCTAACAAGTCAGTTCTTCAAATAAATCAGGTAGCCAAAGTTTGAGTTTCAGCTTCAGCATCAGTCTTTCCAATGAATATTCAGGACTGATTTCCTATAAGATTGACTGGTGTGATCTCTTTGCAGTACAAGGGACTCTCAAGAGTCTTCTCCAACACCACAGTTCAAAAGCATCAGTTCTTCTGCAGTCAGCTTTCTTTATGGTCCAACTCTCACATCAATAATGACTACTGGAAAAACCATAGCTTTGACTAGATGGACCTTTGTTGGCAAAGGAATGTCTTTGCTTTTTAATATGCTGGCTAGGTTTCTCAAAGCTTTTCTTCCAAGGAGCAAGCATCTTTTAATTTCTTGGCTGCAGTCACCATCTGCAGTGATTTTGGAGCCCCCAAAAATAAAGTCTGTCAGTGTTTCCCCAACTATTTTCCATAAAGTGATGGGATCGGAATGTTGAGTATTAAGCCAGCTTTTTCACTATCCTCTTTCACCTTGATCAAGAGGCTCTTTAGTTCTTTGCTTTCTGCCATAAGGGTGGTGTCATCTGCATATCTGAGGTTACTGATATTTCTCCTGGCAATCTTGATTCCAGCTTGTGCTTCATCCAGCCCAGTGTTTCTCATGATGTACTCTGCATAGAAGTTAAATAAACAGAGTGACAATATACAGCCTTGACATACTCCTTTCCCTATTTGGAACCAGTCTGTTGTTTCATGTCGAGTTCTAACGTTGCTTCTTGACCTGCATATAGATCTCTCAGGAGGCAGGTCAGGTGGTCTACTATTCCCATCTCTTTAAGAATTTTCCATTTTATTGTGATCCACATAGTCAAAGGCTTTGGCATAGTCTATAAAGCAGAAGTATATGTTTTTCTGGAACACTCTTGCTTTTTCGATGATCCGAGAGATGTTGCCGATGTAATCGCTGGTTCCTCTGCCTTTTCTAAATCCAGCTTGAATGTCTGGAAGTTCTCGGTTCATGTACTGTTGAAGCCTGGCTTGGAGAATTTTGAGCATTACTTTGCTAGCATGTGAGATGAGCGCAATGGTGTGGTAGTTTGAACATTCTTTAGCATTGCCTTTCTTTGGGATTGAAATGAAAACTGCCTTTTTCCAGTCCTGTGGTCACTGCTGAGTTTTCCAAATGTGCTGGCGTATTGAGTGCAGCATTTTCACAGCATCATCTTTTAGGATTTGAAATAGCTCAACTGGAATTCCATCACCTCCTCTGGCTTTGTTCATAGTGATGCTTCCTAAGGCCAACTTGACTTCGCATTCCAGGACGTCTGGCTCTAGGTGAGTGATCACACCATCGTGGTTATCTGGCTCATGAAGATCTTTTTTGTATTGTTCTTCTGTGTATTCTTGTATCCTAGGTGACAGGAAAACCCAATCCAAAAATCATCATATTGAGTGAAAAGGTGATTTGATGAGTAAATTATATCAGAACAAAAAAGGTTCCTTAGAGATAAGTCTGCTAAAACCAAGATCTACTGGTAAATCTTAAAGAGAACAAATTATAACAGGCCATGCATGTATGTTATTTAAAAAAAAACACATTAACACATTCCTGTAGTTAATGGAAACTTACTGAACATTCATAAGTAAGAGAAAGATACAATCAGATCTACTAAAGTTTTTTTCTAAGACTCCTTTTTTTTCTCCCAAATAACCTGATTTCTTCAAGGAGAGAAACTTCAGTGCTTGGTAACCTTTTATAGACTCTGGATGATGATACTCTCCAGTCAAAAAGAGTCCCATGATAAGGTCCTAATATGTCTTCTTCACCTGTGTATTCCAGCACCCAGAACAATTCTGATAGTCAGAAAGTACCTAGAAATTGCTTGCTGACACTCTTAAGTCATCTGTAAAGCAGAAGGTAGGTTCAAAGTTTAAAATTTTGTGATTCTTAAAAACAGCATGCAATACCAGAGCCTCTAACGCTTACCTCAAAGATAGTGTAAAGAATTGATTTCTTTTTATCTTTTTGCATTCTTGGAATTAAATAAGCTAAAATATGTTAAAATGCCTATCCTAGTAAACATTCAACAAAAATTAATTCCCTTTATGCTTAAAGTCAAGTTTCTTCTCATCTGCCCCAGACTCACACTAGCACATGTGACTGCTTGCTATCCATTAATTCCATTTAATTTGTTCTGAAGATTCAATGTGTGGAATTTTTAACTACAGCCACACCCTTTAGTGTACTTGCTTGAAGTGTGTTAAAATGGTCTGTTTCTTTTTTTTTAGGGTGGCTTTTTTCTTTAATGTAAATAAGAAATGAGAATTAGAAAAGACACTGGAGTTCATATAGTTGTATATACCAAATACTTATATACAGGCCAAGAGATGATGCTGTAATTGTAACCTAGGACCATATCATAAGGGCCATGTGTGCCATTTTAAAGGGCAGCCTTTTTACAATGAAAGTTAAAATGAAGTTAATATCACAGAACATTTGCAAGCAAGGCAGAGAGATCATCAGATCTACCTCCTACAGCAAAATTTACTTACATGCTATGAAGCTTAGGTCCCAGGCATAGAAACTGTTGGTTGTTTTTTTTTTTTTTTACTATATAGGTATTATATTTTGTATTTTCTTTACTATATGGGTATTGTAAGTTGTATTTTATCAACAGGATGCCACAAAGGACTATGATAAAACCAGAGTGAAACAGCTAGATCCAAGATGGTGGATAAAGTAAGCTAAAGGTCACTGCTTTCCTTGTCTTGATTTATCTCTTTGTTTCCATACCAACCCCTGAAAGCTGAAATACACTTGCCCTGATTTATCTCTGTGTTTGTTTCAAGTTACCTCCTAGTATTGGCAGAGATGCCTTGCAGCTGTACCATAAGAGATAAGTGCTTTGAGAAATATACAGTGGTCAACCACCCCCAACCAGCTCTGACTTGATCACAGGAATGTTCCAGCTCAGATGAAACCCAGAGGTATCTGAAAATTACCTTTGCTTCATTACCTTGCTAAGGTCTCCACCCAAAGTGGGGGTTTGTACTCTGCTAGGCACAACTGGTGCTGCATGCAAAGGAACAGGATAGACTGTGCATGCCCTGGCTGCCCTGAAAATCTCTGCTCCTTTCCTAGAGCCCTGTTGACCTTTTCACTTAAAAAGTGCTTTTAGAGCATGAACTCCCCTTCTCCTTCTCTGGCCATTGGATAAAAGCCTGGCCTGCGTGTACCAAACTCAGTTTCATTATTGGCAGTGCAAAACTGATTGAAAAAGAACCCCCTGACAGCCAGGGGATCTTCAGTTCAGCTGGAGCCCCAAGAGGGGGCCTTGCTTCTAACTCAGCAACACAACCTCTGTTTGAATATTTGTGCTTAATACAGAGCTCATTTCTTCCCATGTTTACCTATGCTATATGTTAGAAATTCTTCCTTTACTGAGGTGAAATCTTCCTACTATAATGTTTTTTGTAAGTTCTTAGGCCTCTTTTTCTTCATATATAAAAACAAGAATGTGAACTAGATGAACTAAAGCTGAATAGGAGTCTAAAGGTCTATAATTCTGATATAAACTCCCTGTAAGTGAGCTATTTTACTTCTTCTAAATCATATCTTTTCCCCTTTTCCTTCAAAACAAAAATGAGATCCAACTTCCATTCTAATGATCTCCCTATGACCAATTCTAGTGTGTTAGCTGATTTTTTTTTTCCTGGGCTCCAAAATCACTGCAGATGGTGATTGCAGCCACAAAATTAAAAAACGCTTACTCCTTGGAAGGAAAGTTATGACCAACCTAGATAGCATATTAAAAAGCAGAGATATTACTTTGTCAACAAAGGTCCATCTAGTCAAGGCTATGGTTTTTCCAGTGGTCATGTATGGATGTGAGAGTTGGACTATAAAGAAAGCTCAGCACTGAAGAATTGATGCTTTTGAATTGTGGTGTTGGAGAAGACTCTTGAGAGTCCCTTAATCCCTTAGATCCAACCAGTCCATCCTAAAGGAGATCAGTCCTGGGTGTTCATTGGAAGAACTGTGTTGAAGCTGAAACTCCAATACTTTGGCCACCTGATGCGAAGAGCTGACTCATTTGAAAAGACCCTGAAAGATTGAGGGTAGGAGGAAAAGGGGACGACAGAGGATGAGATGGCTGGATGGCATCACTGACTCAATGGGCGTGGGTTTGGGTGGACTCTGGGAGTTGGTGATGGACAGGAGGCCTGACTTGATGCAGTTCATGGGGTCGTAAAGAGTCAGACATGACTGAGTGACTGAACTGAACTGAGGATAATCTATACTCTGATTCATCTTTGAATCCTCTAAAATGTCATGCTTTCTTTCCAGAAATAAATCCCAGATAATATATGATCAAATGATTTTCAATGAAAGTGCTAAGACTATTCAAAGGCAAAAAGTCTTTTTGCTTGGGAAAATAGTACATGGATAGTCATATTGCAAAAGAATGAAGTGAGACCTTTACCTAATACCATATAAAGAAATTAACTCAAAATGAATCTGAGACCTAACTGTAAGACCTAAAATAATAAAACTCTTAGACAGAAATATAAGGCAAAAACTTCATAACATTCGATTTGGCAATGACTTCTTAGATATGACACCAAAGGCTCAGGCAAAGAAAGGCAAAAAAAGAAAATATGGACAAATTGGACTTCAAGAAAATTAAATACTTGTGCATCAGAAGACAGTATCAATGGAGTAAAAAGGCAACCCACAGAATGGGCAAAAATATTTCAAATCATGTATCTGATGTCTACAGTATAGAGTGAAGTAAAACTCAACAACAAAAAAAACAAACAACCTGATTCAAAATGGGCAAAAAACCTGATACACACTTCTCTGTAGAAAATATACAAATGACCAATATGCACATGAAAAGATGCTCAGCGTTGCCAGTCATTAAAGAAATGCAAATCAAACCTACGAGATATCATTGTATCTCACTCTCATTAGTGTGGCTACCCCCATAAAACAAAAAATTAAACAAAAAAAACGACTAGAAAATAGTGTTTGTGAGAATGTAGAGAAATTAGAACCCTGTGCAATGCTGGTTGGAATACAAAATGATACAGCTGCTGTGGAAAACAGTAAGTGGTTCCTCAAAAAAATTAAACAGAATTATAATACCATCTAACCCAGCAATTACATTTCTGGGCATATACTCAAAAGACTTGAAAACTAAGTCTCAAAGGGATATTTGTACACCCATATTCTTAGCAACATTATCCACACAATAGCTAAAAAGTGAAAGTAATGCAAATATCCATTGATGAATGAATGGATAAGCAAAATGTGGTATATACATACAATGGCCTACTATTCAGCCTTAAAAAGAAAGGAAATTCTGCATATGCTACAACACAGGTGAACTTCTGATGACAGTGTGCCAAAGGAAATAAATCAGTTACAAAAAAAACAAATACTGTGTGATTCTATATACTTAGAGTAGTCAAAATCCTAGAAGGTAGAAAGGTGGTTACCAGGGGCTGGGGGAGAGGAGAATGAAGAATTATTGTTTAATAGGTGTAGAGTTTCAATTTTACAAGATTAGAAGAGTGGCAGAGATGAATGGTGGTGATGGTTGCACATTATGAATGCATTTAATGCTAACTGAATTGTACACTTTAAAATGGTAAAGATAATAAATTTTATGTTATGTGTACTTTACCAGAACTTTAAAAAGTTGTAAAAAGAAAAAAAAAAAAAGACATGCTCTGATGAGTTCTGGAGCTGCAAATCTCTCTTCCCTCAAGGAGCTCTCAGAAACATAAACAAATACTAATAGAATGTGATAATTACCATAATAAGTGTATGTATAAACATTATGAAAACACAAATAAGGGGTAACTAATTTTGTCTGGGAGAGAATAATTTGTTAGGGAAGAATGATCAAGAAAACTTTGGAAAATAAATATTCTTGAAGTATCTTTGAAGGGTGAGTGAAATAGCCATCTAAAGGAGAGGAAGAGCATTCAAGAGGTAGAGAAGAAAAAGGGCAGGGCGTGCTCCAGGAATCTGCAACTAGTTGGCACAGTGGAGGGCAGGGTACAGGAGATGATACTGGAGCGCCAGATCATGAGGCCTGCAGTACCAGGCTAGGCACCCGGCCATACCTGAAAGGTAGGCCTTAAAGAGTTTCAACCAAGAGAATGATGTAGTCATACTTGGATATTAGAAAAGATTAATTAGCAGTGCATAGATAAGAATAGAGGAGCCAAAACTGAAGGCGGGGAAAACAGTTAGGGATTGTTGTAGAAAATCAGATGAGAGATTATGAAGGCTTGAAATAAGCAGAAGAAGTAGGACAGAAAAAAGGGACAGATCAGAAAGATGTAACAGGTGTACAGTGTTAGAATAATAAGACCTAAATGGTTTCTTAAATGTGTTGTTCATGGTACAGATAAAAGTTCTCATGTAGAAGAGATTGTTCTTGTTCAGGGAGGTTTCACTATCACCAGCTCTGAACAACCAGTAGCGACTTCTGGTATACAGTTTAGAAAGTGAGCCTAAAACTCAGTCTAGGTACAGTAAGAAAGAGTGATGGGGACTTCCCTGGTGGTCCAGTGGCTAAGACTGCTCTCCCAGTGCAGGCGGCCTGGGTTTGATCCCTGATCAGGGAACTAGGTCCCACATGCCACAACTGAGAGTTCACCTGCCACACTAAAGATCCTGTGCCCAGCACAGCCTAATAAATAGAACGAGTTTTTAAAATGATGAATTAAGAATGTCTGCTGAATGGGAAAACGCTAGCACCTGACAGATATTTAGCATTCCACTCTCAGGCAGAGGAAACATTAGGATACACTGAGTGTTTTAAAGAATACATATGGCGTATTTCCATTTTTTTAAATTCAAGAACAGACAAAATTAATTTTTGTTGATGGAAGTCAAAATAGTTATCTCTGCATGAGGATGTAGACATGGACAGGAAAGGGGCACAGAGGAGCCTATTAGTGTGCTAGAAATCTTCTAGATCTTGATCTGGGTGGAGGTCACACACGTGTATACATCTGTGAGCAACCAATAAGTGGTACACCTAAGTCTTGTACTTCTTACTATATGAATTGTATATATCAATTTTAAACAAAGCAAATATGTGTTTAAGGAATGGCAAATAGTTGGATGTTGTATAGGGTAAGGAAGAAAGAAAAAGGTTAGCAGATTACTGGGAGATAAATTTGGAGAAATAATAGTATGGCAATAGACTGTGAAGGGTTTGGGAAACCATTTTAGAGTGTGGGCTTCCCCGGTGGCTCAGCAGTAAAAGAATCTGCCTGCAATGCAAGAGTCATGGGCTTCATCCCTGGGTCAAGAAGATCCCCTGGAAGAGGGCATGGCAACCCACTCCAGTATTCTTGCCTGGAGAATCCCATGGACGGAGGAGTCTGATGGGCTACAGTCCATGGATCTGACACGACTGAATCGACTGGGCATACACATTAAAAAGCTTGACTTGTTCCTACAGCCTTTGGGGAGTATATAAAGCTCTGGATAGTCCCATATCTCTGTTTTGGCTGTGCAGAGTCTCCTTTGGAGAGAAAAAGGTGAAGAACAGTTTCTTTGACCCAGCTTGGATCTCAGACCCAGTATCCTCTTGGCTAATGGTTTATCAATTTTATATCCATCCTTGGAAATCATAAAAGGGAGGGGAATCCAATTACCTCTGAAAGTACCTGGCAAGTGACTTTAATTCAAATTTTGAATATTTTTTATTATAGACCTCACATAACCACATTGCAAAGTCTCAAACCTAAGGAAAAGGGGCATGAACTGTGGATAATTCTACTATACTAGTATTAGCATTTTCATATAGTGGATTTCATAACAGTCTTTCTTCTTTAAAAAACAAAAAACAAACAAACAAAAAAAAACCAGCTCTTCAAGATAAGACAGCTGGCCTGTGCTGATAGCCCAGTACCAGAGACTAGGTCAGATATGGAAAAGCATAACCAAAATTTGTCTCTGAATGTATTTTGGCTAGAGCAAGGCAGAATCTAGAAGTAAACCAGGTCAGAAATACATGTCTGAAACGAAAAAACAAAGGGCTAGAGTGCAAAGGTGGAAAGGTTAAAGTGTTAGCCACTATATGTGTACAGAAGTTCCTTTAACTGGGTGCCTACAGTTTTTGTGAGCTGTATGTAGTTGCTTACAGTGTTGGACTGGATAGTTGTAATCTTAATAATTTTGCTTTATTTTCATTTAACCTTAAATCATATGCATTTTTCATTTTGCTATATAGTCTTCATAACTATTTGCATTTTCAGAGGTTAAGTTTTATTTTTCATAGAATAAAAATTAAAAATAAATTTTTTTTCATTTATTTTTATTTGTTGGAGGCTAATTACTTTACAATATTGTAGTGGTTTTTGCCATATATTGACATGAATCAGCCATGAATTTACATGTGTTCCCCATCCTAATCCCCCCTCCCGCCTCCCTCCCCATCCCATCCCTCTGGGTCTTCCCAGTGCACCAGCCCTGAGCACTTGTCTCATGCATCCAACCTGGGCTGGTGATCTGTTTCACCCTTGAAAAAATAAATTTTTAAAGTAAAAGTTTTATTTTATTCCTTTTAACAATTTTGCTTTATTTCCTTTAATGTGTATTTTACAATTCCTAAATCTTTTCTAAACTTATTTTCTAATAAATGACTTTTATGTTTGTAAATATTGGGTTGAGTGCAAAGTTAAAATTTCATCCCCATGAACTTTTTGGCCAACCCAATATTTAACCCAATCTTAAACTGTTAAAATGAAATTATTATTTTTTTCTAATTATAATAGAATTATATGCTCTTTTCAGAAAATCTGGAAATTTTAGGAAAACATGAAGAAGAAAATGGAAAAGGAAATGGCAACGCACTCCAGTAGTCTGGCCTGGGAGAATTCCAGAGACAGAGGAGGATGGAGGTCTACAGTCCATGAGGTCACAAAGTCAGTCACGACTGCGTGACTGAGCATACAAAGAAGAAAGTAACAATGTCAATAGACCATACCCCCCTATCTTAAGATCATCAGTCTAAACAACTTTTGGGCATATTTCCTTTCAGCCTTTTTTTTTAATGCATTTTAACAGTTGAGATCACACTTTGCACATAATATATTTTTTGTTTAATGTTTTCTCATTGTTCTTCAGTTGCTAATTTGTGTCTGACTCTTTGTGACCCTATGGACTGCAGCGTGCTAGGCTTCTGCGTCCTTTGCTACCTCCTGGAGCTTGGTGAAACTTAAGTCCACTGAGTCAGTGATGCCATCCAGCTATCTCATCCTCTGTCACCCTTTCTCCTCCTGCCCTCAGACTTTCCCAGCATCAGGCTCTTTTCCAATGAGTCAGTTCTTTGCATCAGGTGGCCAAAGTATTGGAGCTTCAGCTTCAGCATCAGTCCTTCCAAGGACTGTTCAGGATTGATTTCCTTTAGGATTGACTGGTTTTATCATAAGTATTTCTCCACATCGTTAAGAATTCTTTGTACAGCCATTAAAAAGAATTCATTTGAATCAGTTCTAATGAGATGGATGAAACTGGAGCCCATTATACAGAGCGAAGTAAGCCAGAAAGATAAAGACCATTACAGTATACTAACACATATATATGGAATTTAGAAAGATGGTAACGATAACCCTATATGCAAAACAGAAAAAGAGACTCAGATGTATAGAACAGACTTGTGGACTCTGGGAGAAGGCGAGGGTGGGATGTTTCAAGAGAACAGCATTGAAACATGTATATTATCTAGGGTGAAACAGATCACCAGCCCAGGTTGGGTGCATGAGACAAGTGCTCGGGCCTGGTGCACTGGGAAGACCCAGAGGGATCGGGTGGAGAGGGAGGTGGGAGGGGGGACCAGGATGGGGAATACATGTAAATCCATGGCTAATTCATTTCAATGTATTACAAAAACCACTGCAATGATGTAAAGTAATTAGCCTCCAACTAATAAAAATAAATGGAAAAAAAAATAATAAAATAAAAAGCAAAACCAAAAAAAAAAAAGAATTCTTTGTAAATACAGTTTTAGCAGCTGTAAAATTTTATATAAAAGAAGGTGTCATAGTTTGCTTAACCAGTCCCTTATTGTTAGGCGTTTAAGTTACTTTTAATTTTTTTCTATTCTAAATAGTTTTGCCTTAAATGTATACGACTGAAGCGACTTAGCAGCAGCAACAGCAGCATAAAGCACTATAATATTATTTCCTCAGGGCTTCCCTGGTGGCTCGGTGGTAAAGAGTCGGCCTGCCAATCCAGGAAGCACAGGTTCAGTCCCTGGGCCAGGAAGATCCCACAGGCAACGAAGCAACTACTGAAGCTCCATTGCTACAATTACTGAAGCCCAGGCACCCTAGAGCCGGTTCTCCGCAACGAGAGAAGCCACAAAAATGAGAAGCCGGTGCACTGCAACTAGAGAGGAGCCTCTGCTTGCTGCAATGAGAGAAAAGCCCACACAGCAATGAAGATCCAGCACAGGCAAAAATAAATAAAATTTAAAAATAAAAAAGATATTTCCTCAGAATTCTAAGATGGAGGATTTCTACATCAAGTAGTATGACAATTTTAAAGCTTCCTGATGTGTATTACCAAATTAATTTAAAAGATCTATCCTAAATTCTACTTCCCTGCTACGTGGGAGAGAAAGCTTTAAAAATGACAGGTTTCTCAGAATCTCTGAATAAAGGCTATAGTATCCACAAACACAATTTCCTTAAAAAAAAAAATACTGACTAAAAACACAGGAGTGCCAGATTTGGGGGGGGGGGGGGACTTGTCACACTTTAGTTACTTTGATGTCCCCCTGGAGTCTGAAAACACACCTTCTAAATAGTCAAGTACCCCCACCTTACAAGCCAACAATATTTTAGACAGAGATTACCTAAAGGGTAGGCAACATCAATGAAACATCTTGCTGTGTCTCCAAAGTTCCCCAGAGAATATGACCCAAGATCACTTACAGTTTTGGAGGGGAGACTGTCAAAGAGATCCTTGGAGGGATTAGCAGTTCAAGCAGATCTTATATGCAGCTCTGAAGTTTTCTTGTTTAGACAACCCTTGGTCCAGTTCCAGAATCCTTGCCCAGGCTTAGATCTCTCCCTACATTCCTCCGAGGGCCCTCCAGACATCTATAACCTTGAGAGAAATCTTGAGATTCCACTTTGTCTCTCTGGCCCACATACGCTTGCTTACTCTAATTCCCTTCTACCAATTCTCACTCCATTTTTCCGCTCTTGATCTTCCTGATCTTTTCCTTCTCTCTCCTCACTCTCCTGAGTCTTAAGTTTCTCTCTAAACTTCTCTATTAATGCTCTCCCTCTCCCTCTCTGTCCTTGTTTTCTCAAACTTTCAGCCCTTTCCTCCTCTTCAACAGGGACACAGCTGACCTTAACTAGGAGCCGCCTCTTACTATTTTGTCCCCAGACTTCTCTCCCTCGGACTTTTCTGTTCTCTCCAAATGGCACACACAGTCTCAGTTTTGCAGGAGTTTCTCCCAGCCTCTTTCACACCTAAGACAGGTTTCTTTCACCTTGTTACCAAGGAATACTCTTTGAAGAGCACTGTTACCCCTCTAACCGAAAGATGACCTCCTTCTGCTACTTATATTTATCATTGTTGTTGTTGAGTCACTCAGTCATGTCTGACTTTGTGCGACCCCATGGACTGCAGCAGACTTCCCTGTCCTTCACTATCTCCTGGAGTTTGCTCAAACTCATATCCATTGAGTCAATGATGCCATCTAAACTATTTCATCTTCTGTCGCCCCCTTCTCCTCCTGCCCTCAATCTTTCCCGGCATCAGGGTCTTTTACAATGAGTGGGCTCTTTGCATCAGGTGGCCAAAGTATTGGAATTTCAGCTTCATTGTCAGTCCTTCCAATGAATATTCAGGGATGATTTCCTCAGTTCAGTTCAGTTGCTCAGTCATGTCCGACTCTTTGTGACCCCATGGACCGCAGCATGCCAGGCTTCCCTGTCCATCACCAACTCCCAGAGTTTACCCTAATTCATTCCCATTGAATTGGTGATGCCATCCAACCATCTCATCCTCTGTCGTCTCCTTCTCCTCCCGCCTTCAATCTTTCCCAGTATCAGAGTCTTTTCAAATTAGTCAGCTCTTCACATCAGGTGGCCAAAATATTGGAGTTTCAGCTTCAGCACCAGTCCTTCCAATGAACACCCAGGGCTGATCTCCTTTAGGATGTACTGGTTGGATCTCTTTGCAGTCCAGGGGACTCTCAAGAGTCTTCTCCAACACCATGGTTCAAAAGCATCAATTCTTCAGGACTCAGCTTTCTTTATAGTCCAATTCTCACATCCATATGTGACTACTGGAAAAACCGTAGCCTTAGGATTGACTAGTCTTATCTCCCTGTAGTCCAGGAGACTCTCAAGAGTCTTCTCCGACACCACAGTTCGAAAGCATCAATTCTTCAGCACTCAGCCTTCTTTATGGTCCAACGCTCACATCTGTACATGACTACTGGAAAAACCATAGCTTTGACTATAAAGTCCAAGAAGGAATCAGTTACATTATGCCCATATTTTCCTCTATTCAAATTAGGATACATGAGAGTGCAAGTTTATAAGCATACTTATAGTTGCAACAAGATAGGATAATTGAAATCTGAGCTGTCCTCAAAAATCTGGGACATAATGTTGCTATAAATTCCACCTCTCCAGAACCCAGCTCTCCAGCAGTTTCACACACACAGAGAAGTCTGAACATCCTTGGAGTTGTCAGGAAGTTCGTGTTCTATATATTACACTCAGACTAAAAAGAAGTGTTCTCTTTTTTGTCCACTCTGGAAGACAGAGTTTTGACTACACGTCAACTTAGGTCTAACCTTCCAGATTGCTATTTATAGGACATACACAGAGGGATTCTTTAACTGGAGATTTTACAAAGGTCACAAAAGTGTTCACTGAGAAAGACCAAGTCCTTGCTCTGAAATGGAAATGTACGGTTTATTGCCCATTGACTTACAGATTAATCTATTAACTGATCTTCAAAGCTGCTTTAGTAGGTCTTGGTTTAAACTTCAGTTCTTCCTTTCTAAGAAAACTAGGGGAAACTATTAACCAAAGTGAACGCCTCAGGTCCAGTTTAGACTTTCCTTTTGGCACTATCCAAATTTTATAAATTCTCTTCTGCCTGGAGCCCTTAATCTAAATCTCCATAACTGTATTGGCTCAAGGTTCACTTTAAGTACAATCTTAATGGATCATATTCCTGAGGAAGTTTGCTTCCTCCAATAAGCCTGCAAAATTCTCTCTTATTATTCTTGATTGTCCCCTGAAATGTTACTCTTTGTGAATTAATATGGCTCTGCCTAGCTCTAGATAAAATCCTAATTTTCTGTCATGTGTCTTGTCTGTTGCATTTTCTGTGCACTTTTGTCCTCCCCTACAGTGAATGGGGGTATTTTAAACATTTTTGTTTCCAGAGAGAGCAACTTGCTGGTTGGAGGATCCAAGTTTAAAATGGACCCCCCAGAGAAACATGTATGGCTTGAGGCATCCTGTGTAATCCAATAAATATCCACCCTACCCCCAATCCATATTTGCTGGCTAAAGCAAATGTGAGAGTCAGAGAGGGGAAGGAGTCATGTTCAAGCAATTTTATGTACAGTCTTGGGCAGATTGCACATGCTCAAGAGTTCACACACTTTTCTCCCAGAAGTGACCTTCAACTCTTACTTTACAAGCACTTCCAACCAGTTTGGATATCTAGTTTCCATAACTATAGCAGATCAAGATCATCAACTAGTAGGTGGGAGTTGGGGGTGCAGAATAGGTTAGTGGTGAAGAGTACAGATTCTGGTGTCAAACTACAGGCTTGAATTTTGGCTCTGCCACTTCCCTAGCTATATGACTTTGATTGAGGTACTTCACCTTTTTCTGCCTCAGTTTCCTCATCTGTAGAACAGGAATAATAATAGCACCTATTTCACACAATTTTCATAAGGTTTGTATACATAAAGTGACTGCAGCAGTAGGTACTATATGAGTATCAAGTAGAGTGGGTACACTGGTAATAGTTCTTATGAAAAGTAAAAGAAGTAACTTTAAAAAAGTGTCAGGCATAGACCTTGGAACATAGAAGATTTCTAGTGCCCCTTTTTCTTTCTTAAACATGCCTTAGGCTTGCATCCTACTAAGCCTTTGCAACGTGGTACTTCCTTGGCATGATAAATTCTATTGCCTTTCTTTGCTAGCAAACTGTTCATTCTTCTTCACCCAACTTAAATGCATTCTCCCCTCTGTAGTTTCCCTTGTCTTTTTTTGGCTCCTTTGGAGAGAATGAGTCACTCCCTCTTCTTCAGCACCTACTGCTATCACCCTGCTTGATCATATTGTATTGTAATTACTTATTTATGAATCTTCTCCCTCACCAGACTTTATGGTCCTCCTCCATGGCTGGAGCCACATCTTATTTTCACAGCCTCTATCGCAGTTCTGTCCCTCAATAAATGTTTTGATGAATGGAGGAATAATAACAGCCAACACAGAGTGCTTAGTTCTAGGCTCTGTTCCAATGCTTTACAAATATTAATTTTAATCTTGACAACAGTCATATGAAGTATTATTATCATCTCTAACTTACAGATAAGAATAAATGACTCAAAAGAGTTTATGTAATTTGTCTAGGTCACCTCTGCTACTCATTGTCAAAGCCAGGATACTAATCTAAGTAGTTGGTATCAGAAACTAGGCTTTTAACTCACCCAGTACAATGTCTCCTAGAGAACAAGAGAACAAATAATTGCTCGCAAACTTGGCTTTCCCAAAGGTCTCACTTTCTCAGGCAAATGAGACGTTTATCTAGCAAATATTTACATAGTGCTTTCTATGTGTACACCATCATGTTGAGCACCGATCTCTAATTGCTCCCTCCTTTCTCCTATCACCCCTCAACCTAATCCCTACTACCTGCCCCAAAACTCCACTGTTCTATGAGTTTCTTTCAGTTTCTTGAATTTGTTGTACTCTGTGTTTCGGCTTTGGAACCACAACTTCAGTTTGCCCTGTTAACTCATGCTTATCCTTCAGTTCTGTTTGTGTACATGCATGTGTGCATGCTTAGCTGTGTCCCACTATTTGGGACCCTCCGGACTGTAGCCCGCCAGGCTCCTCTGTTCATGGGATTTACCAGGCAAGAATACTGGAGTAGGGTGCCATTTCCTCCTCCAGCGGATCTTCCCAACTCAGGGACTGAACTCGCATCTTCTGCCTTGGCAGGCAGATTCTTT